CCGAGCTCAAAAGGTTCACCATCACTGCTCTAGAGCAATGGTTCTCAACCTTCCTAATGCCGCGACCCTTTAATACAGTTCATTTTGTAGTGACCCCCAATTTCATTGTTACAAATTGAACATAATTAAAGCATAGTGATTAATCACAAAAACAATATGTAATTATATATGTGTTTTCCAATGGTCTTAGGTGACCCCTGTGAAAGGGTTGTTCAACTCCCAAAGGGGTCTCGACCCACAGTTTGAGAACTGCTGCTCTAGAGACTGCCTCTGCCTACAGACTGATAAGATTCCAACTTGAATTGCTCACCCCCCTTCCCCGCCAGGCAATTGTTCTCAGGTGTGGCAAGAGTTTTTTCAACAGGGTCGGCAGTTGCTACTGCCTGGAGGCTACTTATTTTTAATCTCTTAAGTGGCCTCAGGGCAAGGTGTTTCCAATAGCACGTGTCAACTGTCTTCCCCCCAGGCAAGGTAGATGTCTATGTGGGAAAGATGTCCTCCACTGTGTGAGGGAATGACTCAGCCCAGGAAACTTGGGGTCTCTGCCTTCTGAGTTCTAGCCCCCAAATCCCCAGTCATGGCTTCTGCCCTCACAGCTCCAGTCTACTTCACAGTCCCACTGCTGGCACAAGGTGGGTGGCTCCACAGGGAATTTTGTGCATTGGCCCTTTAAGAGGGTTCCTGAGTTTTCAGCTATTACTTTCTGGCAGATAGCACCCCACTGCTTTTCACAGCCAGATGTTATGTGGGTACCCTCCTCAGTTTTGATGCTTTCTGCTGGGGGCCCAGCTTGGGTATTAGATGAAAGAGTTCTCAGTGGCAACTCCCCCCGCCCCCCAACTGTGATATCTCTCCAGAACTTCAGTTGCCGTCTGTGGGCACCCAGCCAGCTCTTTCGTGCCTCTGTCCCTCCTACCAGTCTCTATGTGGTCTCCACTTTTAGTCCTCAGGTGTCAGGGTTCTCTCCTGTGAGTTTTCTGTTGATTATCCAGTAAGTTTTTCTGTATTTTAGTTATAATACCAGTTTATTCCTGGGAGCATCCACTTACTCTGCTGCCATTTTTAATTTTCTCCAAATTAGGGATTTTAGAGCCTCACTATTCAAACAACCGGCAGCTTGTTAGAAAACCACTGGTCTAGAGAAAAAGAGGTTTTCTATAGTAGGAAGGGCATTAGATATGCAGTGAACATTGAGTACGGGTCCAGTGCTGCTCCCTAATGATCTGGATGACTAAGTATAAGCCATGCAGCCTTCCTGGGTAGGCAGGCTCTGGAGACAGACCACAAATATCTGTTTTTAAAATATATTTTTATTGATTTCATAGAGGAAAGGAAAGGGAGAGAGATAGAAACATCAATGATGAGAGAGAAACACTGATTGGCTGCCTCCTGCATGCCCCCTACTGGGGATCAAGTCTGTAACCCTGGCATATGCCCTTGACTAGAATCGAACCCAGGACCCATCAGTTTGCAGGCCGACACTCTATCTACTGAGCCAAACTGGCTAGGGCTCACAAATATCTTTTTATAGTGGGTTTGTTCAAATCAGGATATACACAGGTCTCACATGCTGCATTTGGTTGATTCGTCTCTAATCGCCTTTAGTCTATAATAGCTATTCCTCCCCCTCTCTTTCCTCATGCCAATTGTTTACTGGTTAGAATTTTTCACATTCAGGGTCTGTTTTCATGGTGTCATTTAATGTCTCTTTATCCACTGTTGACTGGTAGCTAAGTCTAGCAGCTGGCTTTCAGATCCAGTGCTTTGGTGAGACTACTTCAGAGATGCTGTGTGCATCCTCCTGCATCAGGTTAGGAGGCCCAGGTTTGCTTGTCTCACCTCTAGTGGGGTTGAAATTAATCAGCAGGCTCAGGTGTTTGTCTGTTTGACCCATTCATTAAATGCTCCCTGTCAGTCTTAAACTTAAGGTTTTTGCAGCCATTATAACAGCCTAGATTCCTTATTTTACTCAGGGATGCAAAACATAATTTTATAAATGCATCTTTTCTTCTGTTTTCAATGAAGAACTCTCTCCCTCATTGATTATTTATGAGATAGTTTGTACAAGAAAGACTGGGGCACATTTTAAAAGTGACACAGTATGTCTGACTCTCCCATTTGTGCCCTTTTTCTCATTCCAGCTTCCCAGTGCTGGAAAGATGAAGGTCCACTCTCATCTCATTTATGTCGGAAGCACAGAACTGCTAATGAATGACAGAATTTACTGAGTGCTCTCCACTTATATCCCTATGCTCAAATTTTACGTCTTCAAGGGCCAACTCCATCCCCTTCACAAAGTCTTCCATGATTCTCTGACGTGGCCATCATCTGTTTCTCCTCTGAATTCCAGTCATCTCACAAACAACATCCTCTTAGATGTGAGTCACTGTATCTCTTTTCAAGAAACTTTTCCTTTACTCTTTGTAAATAATTATTTATGTATTTTATTTTCTTGCCTAGATTCCTTCGAAGCAGGGGCTACGTTGGACTTAGCTTTCTATCTCCACAGTGACTAGCATTTAACCTTTTGTGGAAAGTCAATAATTACTCATTTAATGAAAAAAATTAATTAATTAGAAAAGAAGAAAATTTTAAGCCTTCACAGCAATGGATGTTTTCTTCTTTTAAAGGTGAGTGGAGCTCTCTTGGGTCCTCTCTTCCAAGATGACCAAGAAAAGAAGGAACAACGGTCATGCCAAAAAGGGCCACAGCCTTGTGCAGCCTTTTCACTGCACCAACTTTGCTTAAATGTGTGCCCAAGGACAAGGCCATTAGGAAGTTCAGCATTCCAGACACAGTCGGGGCCTCAGCCACAGCCTTTAGGGGCATTTCCAAAGCCAGTGTCCTCACACCTAATCTTTTCCTAAGCTGTATGTGAAACTCCACCGCTGTGTGAGCTGTGCCATTCACAGCAAGGTGGTCAGGAATCCTTCTCCTGAAGCCCGGAAGGACTGAACATTTTTTACCCCAATTTAGACCTTTGGATGCTGCCCCATGACCTCTACCTAAGCCCATGTAAGGGGCTAAAGCCTAAGGACCGAAGATATATTCTCTGGAAAAGAGGGTAGGGGTTTGTCAAGGGCGGGGGGGAAAAAAAAAAGGGACACTTATGTAATACCCTTTGTAATACTTTAAGCGAAAAAAAAAAATTAATTGCTATTAAAAATAAATTATGTTGATGAACCGCCTTTTCATCATAGTGGGATACACTGGGATTGTAACTCTATAACTATCTAGCTACCAAGATCTTATTTTCATTTTCTTCTAACATATTTTCCTGTTTTATCTGCCTTTATTTTTTACAACTTTATTGAGATATAATTGACATATAACATTGTGTAAGTTTAAGGTATATAATTCCTTTTGATATACTTATATACTGCAAAATGTTTAACACCATTCCATTAGCTAACACCTCCATTAAGTTACATAATTACTATTTCTTTTCAGTGATGCCTTTATCTTTAGATGCCATCTAAAGTAAACTATGAGTGCTATTTCCCTAAGCACCCCTTAATCATGGTTGTTGTAAACAGCTATTGGTATAAGGATGGTGGTAGCATATGCAACAATATAAATAAGTTTCATTCACTATAAAAAATTGCACATATCTTTTGATTTTACATTTTGAAAGAAATTAATTTGATTAGTCTTAACAGAAATCAGATGGGACATTATGTAAAATTTCAAAACCTGAAAATGGAAAATTCAATTGTATACTTTCTGGGTAAATAATACTGCCACAATGCCAGTGTGTGACCATTTTAATAAGCAAATTTTTTGTAGGCTGACAATTTCTTAAACTTGTTAATAAAATGGTATTATGTATAAGAATGATAGCAAAGCAACAAAAAGTTTTTCTTACCAAGATATTAAGCTCTTCATTTAGACTGTGGTACTTATCCAGTTTGGCTCCCAATAAGGTAGGATCTCTGACATTCTTGGTTTCATTTGAATCAAAGTCTGTAACCTGAGATTAAATATTTGTGCTCACTTCCAATACTTTCACAATCCTTTGAGTATTTGAAAATAAATACTTTATTAGTGAAATAAAGAGATTTTCAGGGACTAGAATAAAAGAAGCATTTACAGCTAGAAGGAGTTAAACAAATTTACCAAGAGAATATACAAATGTGAAATTGCATTTTTATATGGTAAAGACAGTACATAGTAAATGTTAAACTCACGTCAATAACCTGATCTTGAAATGCTTTTTCATTAGCAATTAACTCTCTAAAAGTTGCAATTCTTTCTTTATGTTTCTGTAGCTAAGAAAAAAAGCATTTTGTATTTCAGAGAATGAGAAGAAATAAAACTATATTCTATAACATCTATATATATAAAAGGCTAAGCGACCAGCCAACTGGAATGACTGGCCGACTGGCTGATAGGTAAGACATGCACTGACCACCAGGGGACAGATGCTCAATGTAGGAGCTGCTGAGCAACAGCAACTTTGCAGAGTGCCCTCTCGTACTCTGGGACCCCCTCAAGGGATGTCGGAGAGCCAGTTTTGGCCTGATCTCCGCAGACCAGGCCGAGGGACCCCCACCTGCTGGAGGGAACCCACTCACTCTGCAGATGCCCTTCGAGCCGAGGCACCACCCCAGGTGCAGCTGGCTGGGGAGGGACCGTAGGAGGCTGGATCCAGGGCGTGTCCGGCCCATCTCGCCCAATCCCACCCCACCTTCTAATTAATTTCCTTTCAATGTGCACAAATCTGTGCACTGGGCCTCAAGTCTATACTAATAAAAATGTAATATGCTAATTAGACCAGGAGACCTTCTGGAGACCTCTCGGACATCCTTCCGGACAAAGCTGGGGGCTTGGCCAGCCTGTAAACCAGCCCCTGCAAATGGCCCTCAGCCCCCTTGCCCAGGCTGGCCACACCCCCAGCAGGAACCCTCAGCCCGATGGGGGCGTGGCCAGCCTGCAAACGGCCCTCAGCCTCTCACCCAGGCTGACTATACCCCCCAGTGAGAACCCTCACTCTGATG